CCAATCAACTTAAAATTTTATAGAAATGTACTATTCAACGCAAACTAAAAAGTGAATTGTTTTGCATCATTAAAATGAAAATGAGAACCGAATTGTAAGTGCACAGTAGTGACACACTGCATCCTAATAAGGAAGCTGGAAAAAAAAATCCCATATAAAACTTAAATATAAATATATTAGCATTCAACCTGTGCTATGCACGACTAAATGTATATGATAATGATATATATTAATATTTTATGAATTTTTAAATTATAAATTTACTTTTATTTTTGAATTTAGAGATATATGATAAAAATATTTATTAACATTACATGAATATTTAGATCATAAAATTTAGAGCCCCATCTAATTTACCTTATAACCTAGCCGAGGTACAATTTGGGTTGACCCAACTTAAGTAATTTTAAGTTTGTAAAATTTTAGAGTCTTAAGACTTTTTTTTTTAATTTGGTCAAGACTAAGGGAAAAATTTACCAACTCGAATTAAATTTAGTCTGAGTTTGAGGGAAAATTGTCACAATCAGAGCATTTTAATTTTTATTGTTAATAATATATAACTCTTGCATTGAACCTATAAATACAGCGAAACTTACACACACACACACAAAAAAATGATTTATGTTAATTTAAGAATTTTTTTAATTGTCATATAAAGGAAAATTGTACTAAAGTATTTTTGTCTATCTACTCATTTGAATAAAAAAATTATGTGATTAAAAATTTTGTGATTAAGGACAATAACATGGTCGGTATGAAATAGCCACAAAAAACAAGTTTGGGAAATTGGTTTTGGTGGGTTAGGGGCTAAAATAGCCATAAAAAACAAAGTAGGCTATTTTAGCCATAAAAAACAAAACATCAAATCCAACCCATAATCATTACACTCCTCTCTCACAAAAAAAAGTCAAAAAGCCCTTCCCAAGCTAGGCTTTTTAGCCCCAGGCTAAAATAGCCAAAAAATCAAAAAGTTAAAAAGCCAACCCACTTCCCAAACGGGGGCTAAAACTCATTCCAATCTAATCCAGTTAAGTTGAGTGGTTTTTTTTTTTTAGTCATATCTATTAATGAGTCATCAATTGTAACACCCTGGAAATAAACTCATAATATCATACAATCAAGATATAGAAAAGAGATAGTATATTACAATCATCAGAGTATTACTTATAAATATATTACATGTTAACAGCAAAAGCAAATGTCCTACGGCACTACAACAAAAGTAACCTATGGTGACGAAAACTAGTGAAGAAAATAAAATTTGTCACTAAATGAAAATAATTCGTGAGGAATTTTTAAATTTTGTCACATATGATAAAAAAATAAAAATGATAGGTGACAAAATATATTTTTGTCAATAAATACTTCATTTTAAGTGAGGAAAACTTAAGTTTCGTCACCAAAAATTTTCCCGCTCTTTTTTTCGGTGGCGCCAAAATTTTGGGACTTTTGGTGACAAAAAAATTTGTCACTAATTATAAAATTATTTGTGATGAATATATTTTCGTCACCAAAACGTTTTAATATTTCTGATATCTTTTGGTGAGGAAATAATATTGTCACCAATTTTGGTAGAAAATTTTTGATATATTGAGCGACAATAAAAAAAAAAAAAGGTATTAATTTTTTTATAATTTTTTTCTGTTTATCATCTCTCTCTCTCAAAATAAGGTATTAATTTGTCTTACCTCTTGCTCCTCTACCACGCCGATCGCCCATCGTCGCCTCTATTAGTCTTGTCGATCGTCACCACCAGTAGCAGCCTTGCCGGTAACCGCCACATCTTCTTCGCTTGATGATTTGGTACATGATTTCTCTTTGCTCTTTTTTTGGTGTCTCTTTCTCTTATTCTCTATTTTGGTATGGTGACAAAAATTAGTGAAGAAAACAAATTTCGTCACTAAATAAGAATAATCCATGAGGAATTATAAATTTTGTCACGTATAATAAAAAAAATAAAATAATAGGTGACGAAATTTATTTCTGTCAATAAATATTTACTTTTAGGTGAGAAAAAAAATAAGTTTCGTCACCTAAATTTTTCCCACTAACTTTTTTTTATGATGTCAAAATTGTCAAAATTTTGAAAGTTTTGGTGAGAATTTTGTATAAGTTTATTATGTCTGATTAGTTATAAACTCAAATTTTGTATAAACTCAAATTTTGTATAAACTCAAATTTTGGGGCTTTTCATCAATAATCTCCAACTCCTTGGGTATCGAGAACTCCAAACACCAGATCGATGACGGTCTCCCTGCCCTTTACTCCTCTTCCATGGCCGTCACCGTCTTCACCCTCACATCCACCGCACACCACCACCACCACCGTCTTCACCATCTTCGTGCCATTCTCGGACGACGACGATATGAGATATGAAGGCTTCAAATCTGTTGGATTTATGGTAGATCTGAGATGTGAGAGCTCTTCCTCCGCTGCTACAACCACCGAGATGAACGATGGGGGCCAAATCTGTGTTCGATTTTTGTTGGTTCATAATCTATGTTCAAAGTTATATATATATATATAAAGCTTCAGTGATTTCTATATGTGTGTGTGTGTGTAATTAGGTATCTGATTGTTCGATTTCCAAACGCTAATGGCGGAAATTGAAATTCAAAGTCTGTATATGTGTGTAATTGGGTATCTGATTGTTGATTGATTTGGTTGTATCAGCCACATTGGTGCACCAAACCTGTTCGACGAAAGTCCTCTCTGAAAATTCTTTACTATCTATCTAGTTTGGGAGCTTTTTAAAGATGTATGTTGTGAAAGGAGCTGGGCGTCAAGAGACTCTACATTTCGACAAGATCATTGCTCATTTCAAGAAGCTTAACGGCGTCACCACCAGTTGCTGCATTCTCTGCATGTGATGCATTTGATCTAGTAGTCGTCTAAATGATAGTAGGAAGTAAGTTATTTCAGATATTCCTTCTACCCATACAAAATTTGAGTTTATTATGCCTGATTAATTATTTCCTTTTACAGTGTTAGTTTTAGATTATTTTGTATAAGTTTGACTTGTTAAAATACATATTGTTTGTATTACATGCTTTTGTAATTTTAATGGCCTCCTTGGTTGCTATATTTGTTATGTGGTAGTCCACTGACTGTATACATGTCGTTATTGGTCCCCCTGTGTTCTAAAATTTTGATTTGACATTTGAGATATTTGAACCATATGTGCTTGGCTTTGAACAGTTATGGATTTACTTATAAAAATTGACACTTTTTGGGTTCAAATGGTAGATAGTTACTGTGTTCTTGTCCTCTTCTATAACATTTCAATATGCATCTTCTTTTTGTTCTTTATTGATTTTTTCTTGTGGTTTATGAGTATTGTTTAACAGCATTACTACTTCAGGAGCTTGCAGGGATTATTAAATTATCGGCATATTCTAGCTTCAGTCTGTTTGAGTGTCGGAAGGTTGTTGCTGGTTCTAAATCACCTGAAATTGGAAATGGTATTTGTTTTACCTGAGTTCCTAAAATATATATATATATATATATATATTTGCTTTTGTTTTCATAATAATATGCATTTTGATGTCATATAGAGGAGTATATTGGGTTGGATGATAACAAATACATTGGGGATCTGCTAGCTAAATTTAAGGCAGCAAAGGACCGAAGTAAAGGAGAAATCTTGCACTGCAAATTGACATTTAAAAAAAAGTTATTTCGGGAGTCGGATGAAGCTATAGGAGAACCAATGTTTTTAGGTGGGAAGGTGTTGGTGAAGATGGTTTGATGGTTTCACTGGAAATTATTTCAACATAAAAAACATCCATATTCACCAATTTTGAATAATGGGAGTCGAATAATGCGGTGAATAACTATAGTCAACTTATATTTGTTGTTAATATGATTGCTGATTTTTGTTCAGTTGGTTGTTTTGATTTCTTTTAACATTTCATACTGCGATAATACACTGAATAACAGTGGTCAACTTACATTTGGTGCGAATATGATCGCTGCTTCAGTCGCTGGTGCTGTCACAGCAATTGCAGCAAATCCACTGTGGGTTGTTAAGACCAGACTCCAAGTAGGTTGGATCTTGTTATCTGCAGTTTCTTTCAAACTTATTGAAGTAGATTAGTGAATGCTTTTAGTTTCTGCGTGCTTGGCTTGAAAACAAATACTTGTATCTATAACTTATGTGTATGTATTACTATTGCAGAATTCTGTAGTTGTAATTAATTTTGTTGCGGAATGTTCTCCTGTTGGTCAAACAGTATGCTTCTCTATGCTGCAGAAGTATCTAAACTAGAACCACAGCAGGAAAATGAGATGGAGTTTGAAAGAAAAACTCCTTTCAAGTTCTAGGACGCACACACCAAGCTGAAATAGGTTTTGAGCTCTGCAAGTAAGCCTCCTGGCACACATTAAATAAAGTGGATATGAACTAAAACATTTGTAGTGCAACTGAGTACAAATCACTGGCATTTCAGTTCCCAATAGTGATTGATGACACCACCGGCAGTTGAATAACTCTACAGTTAGTCAGAAAACTATCATTAATAGGAAGTAATTGATGATGATCATCAGGGTATTTATAGTAAGCTGTGTAGCCTGAGCGGCCTTTGTAATAACTGTAACTGTGATTACGGCGAAAGAAATCCTCAATCCGCTGGTCAAGTGCACTGTCGCTGGTGGGGCATTTGATCAAGGTGAGATTGGGGGAGACTGTAAAAGAAACAGGTGTATGGGAAGAGTCCAGCTCACTAACATTCAGATTTTATGAGGCTTTCAAGCTTTTAAGCAAATATGTTTAAATTTAAGCAAATTTAAACATATTAAGCAAATTTAAGCAAATATGTTTAAATTTAAGCAAATTTCTGCCCATTATTCACAGTCATCTAGGAATGAATCAGCTATTCGACAGCATTCCATCTAAACTTTTCCACTTAAACATGAATCTGATACATGCATAAGTTTCCAAATTGTAATCTTTGATGTTATGAACGACAAAACTTAGTCATTAATTAGCATATTTTAAGATAACATGTTTTAGTATTATTGTTATTTAAATTTAAGCAAATTTCTGCCCATTATTCACAGTCATCTAGGAATGAATCAGCTATTCGGCAGCATTCCATCTAAACTTTTCCACTTGAACATGAATCTGATACATGCATAAGTTTCCAAATTGTAATCTTTGATGTTACGAACGACAAAACTTAGTCATTAATTAGCATATTTTGACTTCATGTGGAGCATTTGATTCAGTTGTTGTGACACTAGGCGATCCTATGTTCCAACTAATGCCAATTTGGACATTATCTTGTTATAGTCTCTAATAAATAATTATACTTTTATATTGAGCAAGATTTTTTATATCAACAAACTCACTGGAAGCATCCCTGACACACTAGGATATGTGCAGACTTTGGAGGCCATGTGAGTATCTATGTCATGTACTCTAGAAACTTCTTACTAAGCTTCTTACAGAAACCATTCTGTGATTGGCTTTCATGTTCCTATAGTAACAAATTTGGTTTCTTGTTTTGGATTGAAACTTTTGCCTTGCAAACAGATGCTTCAATTGGATTTCATTAAATGGGCCTGTTCCTTCAAACCTCAACAACCTTACGAGTGTCAGGGAGCTGTAAGTACACACACAGAAAATTTTCCAACTTCATGTAGAATTCAAGTTGTGTCATTAAGAAAGTGTTTTGGTTATGCCTTTTCAGGTACTTGTCGAACAATAATTTGAATGGACCTTCGCCCAATCTCACAGGGATGAACTTTCTCAACTCTCTGTAAGTTGTTGCAATTTCCTTCGATATTCAATTTTGTTAGCAATGCATGTGAAATCTATTTGCATTTTCTGACCATAAGATGATGGTATGCAGGGACATGAGCAACAATAGTTTCAATTCATCAGCTGTTCCTCTATGGCATACAAGCCTAGAGGCTTTGACGACATTGTACCATCTTAATCCTCATCATCTGTTGATCTAGTTCTCACTAATAGTTTAGGGGATCTTGGAATAATTAAATATGATTTTAGATGTAATTAATAATATATTAATGTCTTCCTTATTTATTTTCTTTGCAGATTGGTTTTTGATGACGTTTGGAAGCATATTTGCAAATCAAGATCAAGTGTTGAATTATTTATTTATTTCCTGAACTGATACTTAGTTGTAGTTGCAAATCAAGATTGAGTGTTGATTTTTTTTGTGGACTCCACATTAGTTCATTTTGGGATTTGCTTTGATGATTTTTTTGTTATACATAATGGATTATTATTAAAGTTGTTTGATGGATACATTTTGATTTATAATATAATGGTTTAGTGAATTTTTGTGTGGAGTGGAGTATAATAGCTAGTGGATTTCTTAGTACAATTAAAAGGCTATTGGGATCTGAGCAAGGATATTTGTGAAATAATAACTTAAATTGAATATAAAATATGGAACAACTTTAGTGACGAATTTTTTCGTCATTTGTACTTCTTATTATGACAAAGTGATTATTCGTCACTAATAAATTTTTTTTTTGTGACAAAATTTACTGCAGTTTATATATGAAAGTTTTTATTTATTTTGTTGTTTGGTGACTAAAAATTTTGTCACGTGTATATATATTTATGACGAAATATATTTCGTCACCCATGTATGACTTTTGAAGACAAAAAATTTCGTCACCTTTACATCTTATTGTGACAATTGTTTCCTCATCAATGATCAACATGCGTGACAAATTTATTCGTCAACTAAAGTTATAAATATGGTACAGAACAACTATTTGGTGACGAAAATGAGAACTTTTGGCGACAAAATTTTTTTGTTTTATTGTGCGAACAAAAATTATGACTTTGAAGACGAAAATTTTCGTCATCTTTACATTTTATTTTGACGAAATTATTTTCTCATCATGATCAAGACAATGCGTGACAAATTTATTTCGTCAACTAAAGTCATAAATATGGTATTGAATAACTATTTGGTGAGAAAATGAGAATTTTTGGCGACAAAATGTTGTTTTATTGGTGGTACAAAAATTTCATCACTGAAGTAATTTCATTGGTGACGAAATTATTTTTCGTCACGTTGGTTTTTAGTGACAAACATTTCAATGACGCAACGGTGACGAAAATATTTCCTCCACAAATATCTTATAGTGACAGAAATTAGGCTTCTTTGGAGAAAAAATTAATTTTTCGTCATTCAAAGACCCACTTGTTTGTAGGGACTGCACATTTTAATATAAACTTAAAATTTTAATATAATAATATATATAATATTTTTTTATGTTATTGTCCGACAGTTTATTGTGATATTTTCTGTCTAATTTTGAAAGGTTAGGCTTTCGGAGAAAAGCGAGAAAACAATGAAACATAAAGTCAAAGTGAAAAAAAAAAAATAAAAAAACTTTAAGAGTTAAAGTATAAAAGTGACAAATAGTAAAAAGGCTTAAAGTAATAATATTTATTTATATTTTTTTGAGCTTATCTAGAGAAATGTCTCGTAGCTTCAATTTTGTGGCTACAAAGTGGCTCACTATACGTTTTTGGCCATTTTTATGTTGTTTGTACTCAAAACGACGTCGTTTTGGCCATTTGAGCTACTTTTTGAGCCACAAAATTTGAATTAGTAGCATTCGTCGGATAGCTAGAAACATAAAAGTTGTTTGTGTCTAATGTTTTTTTTCCCCATAAAAAAATTTATATGCGGTTTGGACGATTCATTAATTTTTAGGAAACGTAAAAAAATTTGGTTTGTTTGTTGGTTTTTTTTTTTTAATTACGGTCCTTTTGTTGGTAAAAATACTTGGTTGCATGGTAGTTGAAATATATATATAATATGATATTTTTTTTTTTTAAATTTGTTGGCATGTTGTAGGTGAAATTAATATATTAGGTAGTTGTATTAATAGTGGTAGTTGACGGTGGGGGTATAGGTGGCATTGGAAGTGGTGAAGTGGTAGTGGCCTGGTGGCAGAACTAGAAATTTTAAGACAGAGGGACACTATATTACTTACATTTGCAAAGAAGAAAAAAAAAAAAAAAAAACTACATAACAATAACGAGATAATCTATTAAATTCATATATCATATTATATATATATATTATTTGGGTATTGTTTGGTTTGAATTTAGGTTAATTACTGTAATGAGTTAATGCTAATATATATGATGTTAATTCCTCTTTCTAATGTACATCCCTCTTGTTGAGAAATTTTCTCAAATAATTAGAACAACATGGAAAGTTCTCTTTAATAAAATATATTATTATTATATAAACTCACACATTGATATAAACCTAAATTTAATGTTATTATATATATATATATATATATTATATATATTATGTTATTTGATAGTTATTGTGGGTATTTTCTGTCTTAATTTTGAATAGAAGTTAGCTTTCGGAGTAAAAGTGAGAAAAACTTGAGACATGACATAAGGTCAAAGTAAAAAAAAAACAACAAACAAACTTTAAAGTCAAAGTAAGAAAGTGACGCAAAAACAAACTATAAATTTTGTTAATTTAAATTTTTTTAGGTTAAACTAGAAACCTAAAATGTTATTTTGGTGTCTATTTTTTTTTTTCAACCACAAAAAATATAAGCGTGTGTTTTAAAGAATGCTTTTTTTGATTTTTCAAAAACATTTTTGCAAAAAATTTTACTTTCTTGTTTTCCGTTTTTTTTTGTTTTTAGTGAAATTTTTAAATATTTTAGACATACCTAACATAAAATCATACATAAAAGTATAATTTTTTTGTTGTTGAAAAATCTTTTGAAAATTGACTTAAATAGCAAAAATACAAAAAAAAATACAGAATTCAATATATTTTTCATATTTTTATGTATTTATTAATTTTTTAAATATTTTTTCACAATTTTTTTTATGTTTAGATAGCATCTAAGTAAGTGCATGCTAAAAAAGTAAAAATAATGCTTATAATTTAGAAAAATATTCACGTAAATAAAGAAACACGAAAAATAAAAAAATTCATTTCAAAAAATTTAATCCAAAAAACTCAAACAATAATTTTGTAGGAAACGTAAAAAATTGTTTTTTTAATTACTGTCCATTTGGTTTGGTAAGAATAAATTTCTTAAAATTTTAATATTTTTTCTAAATTTTGGTTGGCAGCGCATAGTTGAAATTAATATATTAATGGTTGTAATTAATGGTGGTGGTTAATGATGGGGTAGAGGTGGCAACCGGAGTGGTGAGTGGCGCGCCAGTGGCAGAACTAGAATTCCAAGATAAGGGGCAGCATATTACTTCAGTGCATTGGGGAAAGGAAGAAATTTTTTTTTTAAACATATAAAAATAAGCGAGATCCAATTAAATTTTTGTAATATTTTTTTTTTTTGGGTCTATTGTTATATCCAAAATATTATAATGTATTCGTGAGAATTACATCAAATAATAGCTTAAAATCGCATAAGAACAACGGCCAA